CCTCATGGAGGCCCTACAGTTGGCTAAGGATCTAAGGGCAACTATCTACAGATACCCATTATGCTTTTGTTACCGTTCATGTACATGGGGCAGTCTATCAAGACAGGGGGGCTCCTAACCTCTGCTGGTTCAAAGATTAAGAACACCCCTTTTATCCTGGACTTGTTAGCCAATATCTGGCTCCCTAAATCTATGACAGTTGTGATTACAGGGGCCACCAAACAGGAGAATCTATGGCCCATTTGCTGCCAGTTCTGCCACACCTTTATTTGCCCCAATTGGTGTATTCCAAGTCAAATCAAGAGCTAGCTAGACAACTCGGAGCAAAACAAGAGCCCCCTGAAAATTGGTTCCAATTGCCAGACAGACAAATTTTAATACCCACTGCCTTAGGAAGAGACTTGATTCTTCAAATCCACCAGGCCTCACACCTAGGAGGCTCAAAACTGGCTGAGTTGCTTTGGAATAGGTACTTCATTCCTAAGCTAACTCAATTAGCAAAGGAAGTCAGTCAAAGATGCCCATAATGTCTACAACTAAATACGAAACAAGTAAATACCAAAGTCTCCACTATCTCAGAGAAAATTCGATACCAGGGAACTTTTCCAGGAAAACACTAGAAAATTGACTTCATGGACATGGGAAAACTAGGACTACATGGACATAAACATCTGCTGGTTTTGGTGGATAATTTCACCAGTTGGAATGAGGGATATCTGACAAAGACTGAATTGGCCTCAATTGTTGTCAAAAGCCTTTATATAAAATAACTCCTAGATTTGGCCTTCCCTTATCTATGGGGTCCGACAATGGCCCAGCCTTCATAGCTTCCATCACTAATAAAGTTGCTCAGTTATTACAGATTGATTGGAAATTTCACTGTGTCTAACATCCCCAAAGTTCAGGTGAAGTTGAAAGGATAAACTGAACTCTAAAAGAGATGCTTAGCAAATTGATTTTAGAGTCTGACGAAAACTGGGTGAGTCTCCTTCCTTTTGCCCTCTTGTGCACGCGTTGTGCTCCATATATAAATGGAATAACCCCTTTTGAGGCAGTCTGTGAGAGACTGCCACCCCTCGTTCCCCACCTTGATAGTACCCATTTGGCAGAAACCACTAACCACAGTTCAATTAAGTCCCTACAGGCTCTTCAACCTGTGCTGACCTCCATCCACCAACTCTTCCAAGACCACCAAGCCAAATCTCTGCCCACACCAGAAACTCCGCTTGTTGCTAATCTGAGAGATCAAGTGCTACTTAAGTGTTGTTCCTGCAACTCTTCTCTTGAACCTCACTGGACTGGACTGTACACTGTCATCCTCAACACCCCTACGACTGTCAAAGTAGCAGGAAACCTACTTGCACACATCATTCACACATCCAGGTCTCCCTCCAGATACCCAGGAGACAGATTGGTGGACTGTTACTCGGACTGAACATCCTTTAAGACTCAAACTGTCAAAATGTTCTTGATAATGATGGTTTCTCTTGCTTGTTGGGAAATGGTTGCTTTGTCTCATGCATGACTTTAAACATGACCCATCCTTACTTTAGGAAATATTCAAGGTAATATAACTTATGTCAGATCTGCTGCCTATAACCTCGACTCTAGCCCCTGTGCAAACTTATGTTCTGACTCTATTGTAATAACTAATGTCTCTTATGCTACAAGTCAACACCTGGAAGCCCCTACAGGATCTTGGTTTGCTTGTACTTCAGGTTTAACTCCTTGTGTCATGCTTGATATATTTACTAGGCAAACTAAACTATGCATTCTTGCACATGTATTTCCCCAAGTTTATTGGTATTCTGGTACTAATGGAAAAAACACTTAAATTTAGAATCTGACATCTTTAGGACAGTTCCTGTGTTAATACCAATTTTGATGGGACGTGTCTCTCTGGAGCCACAGCATTAGGAGCTACAAGCTTAATCATTGGTGACCAAAACTACCGAGAACTAAGTGCCCTAATAGACAAAGATATGGCAACACTAAAACATTCTGTATCCAAATTGGAAGAATCCCTAAGGTCTCTAACAGGGAGATATGATCCTCCAAAACCGTAGGGAACTAGACCTAGTATTCATAAAAAAGGTGGTTTATGCGTAGCCTTACTTCGCATAAGAGGATTGCTGTTTCTATGTGATCACTCCGGAGTCATATGAGATAACATGATCACTCTGGAGTCATAGGAGATAACACAAACAAGCTTTAAAAAAAAAAAAAAAAAAAAAGACTCCATGAACGGGAGCAACAACGACAAATTGACCAGAATTGGTTTCAAAACCTGTTCTCCCAGTCCCCTTGGTTCACCACCCTGCTCTCAGCCCTGGTGGGACCACCAGTTCTCTTCTTACCTGCTGTAACCGTCGGGCCATACATTATAAAGTGCCTTCTAAACCACATCCAGGGCCAACTTCAAGCCGTTAAAATATATATGGATATAACTCCTCGCAGCCCCTGGCTCCGGCACACACTTCCCTGGCTGCTTTTCTAGGACAGTGTTGCCGCTGAGCTCAGCTAATAAAGCGCTTCTTTTTAGTTTTTGTAGTCCCTCATTTTTTCTGCCCCTATCAGGCAGGAGGCGAGCGTGGTCAGGCACACGCGCAGCCGGGGCGGCCGGGCCGTGCAGGCTGGGAAGAGGGCGGCCAGGACCTGCTCCGCTCCCCGCGCGCACCGCCTCACAGGGCCATCTCGCCTGAGGTATCCAAGTGACACCCGGCCTGCCGCTACCCTGGCAGTCCTCCGCCGCTTTCCGCGAGCGCTCGGACACCCTCTCCATCATGACGGCCACCGCGTTGCTCCACCTTCTGGTCCCGGCCACTGGGGATAAGAAGCTGAGCACACACGCCATGAAAAGGCCGAGGCGCGGAAAAAACCCATGCGGCCGGGGCGACGCGCAGAAGTGACGTCACTTCCGGCAGACGCAGGCCGGCTTCCGGCTAGGCTGATCCGCCAGCTGGCGACCTCCCATGCTAGGGTGCTGGCGGCGCTGGATAGGCGCTGGTAGCATCGTGGTGTCCAGGGGTAGCATGGCTTCCCACAGCACTGGTCTCCCAGGGATGTTATTTTTGGGGGAGAGGTAATTGGGTAACATTCAATGTGTATCTTACATGGAGAGATGACCCCTCCGCGCTGAGCGGTCAGGTCGTCCGCGTTGTACATTCTGGCCATTCTAAAGGGTATGCGTCTCTGCCTCGGTGTTTTGCTTTGTTTTGTTTGTTTCCAATCTTTCACAGATAGTGTCACGCTATGCAATTCATCCTGGCCTTGAACTCGCAGTGATTCTCCTGCTTCAGACACCCAAATGCTGGGATTACAGGCGTGCGCCATATAATCATGTAACCATGCCTGGCTTTTTACCGTGGTTTTTAAATTTGTGTTATTCTGATGACATTTAGTGGAGAAATGCACGTACTTTATAAGCTACCTCAGTGGTGAGGTAACTTGAAAGGGTGGGCACTAGACATATTTTGATGAGATTAAGGGCCAGAGCAGAGGGAGTGAGGCCTTGAACAAACTCCCAGTGAAGTCATCTGTACCTCGGTTTTGCCCGCATCATTTCCCATTGGTTCCTGGAGCTGCCAAGCAGTATCTCCCTTTCACTGCTGGCAGCTTTTGCAAGGCCCAGCATTGCAGAGCTGCCCTCTACCCCGTCTACACCTGCCTTCTTTCTCAGGCCTACCTAGGCGTTGCCTACATTCCCACAGGGTCGTCTGGGGGAGTGTCAGGGCTGCTAGGGGTAGGGGTGGGGTAGAAGCATTTGTCCCCACCCCTGTGCTCTTCCCCACTGGACCCCCTGTGGTAGGAGGGACTTGTTCCACCTTCTCCACCCTGCAGATGTTCTGGAGAGAGGCTGAGGACTGAGAGACTTGCAGAGATGGCATGTGAGGGGGCCGGAAGGGACCTTGCTCAGGGCTGGGGATGACCAGAGGAGTCGTGTGCAGCACAGCTTCCCTCCAGGGTGCCTTGAAGGCAATGCAAGATCCTGGAGTCTCCCCCAGCCTCACTGTCCGTTGCTCTCATCTGGGGCCTCAGTTCACCTCTAGGAGCAGGTGAACACCCATTCCCTGGCAGGTGGGTGGGAGGAACTGGGGACCCCAAGAAATGCTTGGTTTTAAAACATAGAAACTCAGGTGGCTGGACAGCATGAGATGTCAAATGTAAGAGTTTCTGTTATGCCAGATCAGCAGCAATATCTCCAGGGCTGATTCTAACAAGACAGGCTATGGTTGAACTCAGCCAGCCCACAGTCTGTGGGTTTGTGTGCACATTTTTGTTGAGAGTGTGGGGACGTGTGACACAGCCCAGGGCTTGGCTCAGTGTGTGGTATCCTCATTAGCTGGCAGGGCACCTGCCTGCTCCAGGGCACCTTTATCTCTGTGTTGCACATACTCTGGCTCCTTTGCCCAGCCCCAAGGGCCTGGCTCCATAATGTGACACAGGGCCACCCACATCAGTGCAGTTGGAACAAGGGGTCTCTTGTACAATAATTGCTAAGTTGTGTGACCCTGGCAACAGGTTATTGAACTAAGCCTGGGCCTTTGAACAGCCATGGAGGCTTTGTTCCCTAAAGCTGGCCCGTGGAATGAACCTGCCTCCAGCACGCCAAAGAGTTTTCAGCTCCCCATGGACATGCTGGCTTCCTTGCCCTCATCTGACCCTCCTTTCATCCCTCCCCACCACCCCATTCCCTGCCACTTGCTCCAGCCATCTTCCTAATGAATGGCTTCCATGATCCCCCTCCTGCAGAGGGACCCCAGCTCCACTGGGGACACTTGTGGCCCAGGTGTCCTAGGCTCTAAAAGCAGAGCCGTGGCAACACCTCCTCCAGTCAGCACCCACCTGCCTCCTGCCGTGGGGTCAACCAGGACCAGGAATCACAAACCCTGGCGACCAGGCCTCACATTTGGCCCTGCGCCCCCCCACCCCGGCTTGTGTTAGGCTTCGGCACATCCAACGTAAGGTCATCAAGTGGATAAACCTGCTACTCGCACACGTGTAGTTCAGTGCCATTCTAAGATGGGCAAATCTATTCGGAGAACCTCTGGGATGGGCGCTGCCTCCCAGAGCCAGACCCGGGAGTAATGAGCAGACACGCCAGGATGCTGAACTCCGACAGGGAAAGAGGCCTTCACCGCGCTCGGGCGGTGCTTTCTTCCCAGCGGGCAGATGGTGGCGCTGTGGCTCAGGGGCTGGGTGGGAAGCAGGGCCCAGAGCTGGTCAGCGCCTCCTCAGACCGTGGCGGGCCAAGCTGGGCTCAGGAGCCAGGGGCCCTGTCTCCAGGGACTCGGGGTCTTGCTCTGCAGGCGGAGCACGCCTTTGGGGTCCAGCTGCCTCCCTGCTCCTCCCGAGGCTTAGCAGGAAGTGGAGGAGTGCTCCCGCTCCGACTGGAAGGGAAACAAAGAAGCCAGCGATATGAGCCGCCACGGCAGGACGTGGAGTCGTCCCGAGTCTGTCACTTCCTCCACCTCCATGGCCCAGCTTCCCCGAAGATTAAACCCTTAACTCCCAGAGAAATTCATTCTTTCTGTTCTTTTTGGGGGGAGGGGAGGGGCTTGGGGCTGGGACTGAACCCAGGACCTTGTCGCTCACCCGGATCCCCAGCCTTTACAGTTTTAGAACCGGGGTCTGGCTGAGCTGCTATGTTGCCCAGGCTGGGTTTGAACCTCCAGTCCTGCCTCAGCCTCTTGCCTTGGTCCCACCCTCTGGGGATTTTCCGGAGGACCACATCCAGCTCCTGAACAGCCTTCTCTGGTATTCTCTGACTCAGTTCGTAGTCCATCTGTCACCTGCATTCTCATTCCCTAGATCAAGAAACAGGCTCAGGGGATCTCTTGCTTCAAGTCACACAGTGAGGGGACAGGACCTCATAGCCAGACCCAGATCCCCCAAAGCTACCCCTTCCACAACCTCCACTGGGACAGGAAGCCTCCAGCTGTTCCTGCTCATCCCAGACTTCCCTGGAGAAAGCTCACAGGCTCCTGTGGGGACAGAAGCCAGCTGGGGACAGCCAAGGGCTCTGGTCATAGACTTGCCGGCCTTGATCCCTCCTCTGGAGATTTTCTGGAGGACCCAACGTGAATTCTCAGGAGACTGACATACACTGCTTTCTAGCAAAGTCCCCGGGGCATGTGCATGGCCAGAAGCTTTCACACCAGGCAGGGCCTGCAGCCGGGTACAGCCCCGGGTGCTGTGACCACATAGTCCTGTGCACACACCTGCCCTGCCATGCCTCACTCACGCACCTGACTCCTCTGGGCCACCTCCTGCACATCAGCGTCCCCACAACTCAGCCGCCCTGCAATTCCACAAAGCACAGCTCGCCCCCCCTCGCGAATCTTTCTCCTTCTGCTCCCTCTGCTGGTGACAGTGATAGTCCCAGCCCAGCTTCCCGGGTAGCGCCTTCTCCTCAGATCCTGGCTCCTCACTAGCCTTCCCTGCCCCTGCAGAGATCCTGCTCCTCATCGCCTGTCACTTCCTCTGTGACACTTGATACAGCCTGTCACTCTGTTGATCTACAGGAAGGGACTTGGCCAGATTTGTTCACTGTCTCGTCCCCGAACAGTGCCTGGCAGCTGTTGCCTAGCAACTGGATGCTGGGTACCACCCCTGCCAGTGGCACTTGATGGCATGGTTTGGCAGAAGTGGGGAAAGACAGACAACACTTAGGGACATCGGAGATGCTGAGGCCAAGGTCTACAAAGGTGAGTCAGCCCCCAGGGTGGCCTTGGGCTTGGGTCTCCAGGGGCACAGACGTGCATCCACTTCTGATGGCAGGTGGAGTGCTAGGGCCACGGGAAACCTGTGAGGGAATCTGAGACTCGCCCGAAAGGAGAGCCCTTCTGTGTTTCTCCTGCCACTCACCTGTAATGAAAGCTACCAGAACCCCGACTGCCCACATCCACCCTTCCCAGTGGCTCCCTGTCCCCCACTTACCTGCCTGCTGCTTTACTGGAAGGGCCTCTGTTGTTCCTTGCCAGGTTCTGCCACATACTTGGAGTCACCATCTGCAACAAGAGCAGGGCACTGTTAGGGCAGGCTGGCCCTACTTGGACATCTGCTGTGGCCCCTCCCCCACCCCCGTGCCTGCCAGAGGAGGTGCAGATGCCTCAGCTTGGCCCTCTCCTGGATGAGTCCACTTAGCCCCCGCTGCAGCCCCTCACCTCAGCAGGCCCTCCTGCATGTTGGTCTTCCATCAGGCCACTCTGCCTCGGTGGTCACACACCCCACCTGTGGGGGTGGCCATGCTGTTCCCAGCCACAGGATCATCACCTGTGTCCCTCGGCCCACTGCTCCTTATTCTTTAGGCTGAGCTTTCAGGTCCTTGCCTTAGGAAGCCTTCCTGGCCAGCACGGTCTACACTGTCCTCCTGGTATCCAGTATGTGACATCATGACCACTTAAATGACCACTCGGGCTTCAATAGTGCTTGAATTTCCTACCCAGTCTTAGCTGCATGGTGGTGGGTGCTGGCTGTTTCATGTCTACATAGGCTTGACCTCCAGCACAGATTGATGGATAGTGCTTGATAAATGTGCTGTAAATTCTTGATAAGGACATGTTGAACAGATGGATAGATGGATGGATGCAGAAAGGATGGGAGATGGGTGGATAGGTGGATAGAGTTATGGTTTATACCTAGATATCCCCCCAAAGCCTCATGTACTCATAGGAGGACATATTGGGAAGTTGCTGAATCTGGATGTATGATGCTGGGATCAAGCATGTGTGATTACTAAATTAGTCCACTGGTTGGTTTGGCATAGTTCTGGGTGTGGAGAGTGGGGACGCACACCTGGACATGAGGGCTACCTGCCCTAAGGCCATGGACAGAATATAATGGATGGAAACAGGGCCATTGTTGCTTGCTGCTGCTTGGCTGCCTTCTTCCAGCCATGAGCTGTTTCTCCTCTGTGATGCCCCTCTGCAAAACCACCTTGCCTTGGAACCACCTAATGATGGACTGAAACCTCTACAAACTGTGAACCAAAATAGACCTTTCCTCCTCTAACTTTGGCTATTAACTTCATGTATCTTGTCGTCTCAGCAATGAGAAAAGTAACTAAAACAGATGCATACATACTTCTGTGGATATGCAGATAAATGACTGGATGGATGCATGAGTGGATAAGTGCTATGTATGTATGGGTAGATAAATGTAGGACGGATGAATGAATGGGTGAATCGGTGAATGAGTGGTTGGGTGATTAGATGAATGGGTTTATGAATGCATGAATGAATGCATAGTCAGGGCTGAAAAATTAAATAAATGAATGGAGAATGGTGTTAACCATCATTTCCAATTCCCTAATGAAGACAGGAAGGACATGAACATGTCCAGCGCCAGGTTCTGAGATTCCACACGAGGCCACCTTTGCAGTGAGGACCCCTTCGGCTCACACCCATCCTGCTGCTGTGAGACTATAATAGGGTTTCTAGTTTATCTCTCCATCTTAGCTCCATTTTCCTTCTGTATCTCAGCTCTGGGGTTTTATTTTTTCTTCTTCACCTAAGAAATGCACTTTGTCCCTTTTCATGTCTTCTGTAAAGAAAGCATGGTTTCTTCTCTCACCTGGGTATTCTTTATGAAATTTGTGTCGCAGGAACCGCCCATCTGGAACACAGTGAGAAGATAAAATATGTTCAGCATTTGAGGCCAAACTGGCGAATTATTAATATCTTTCACGCTCGTTTTCCTGTGGTGCACAGAGGAATCTTCCCCAGCTTACATGAGTTATAGCACAGCTGAACTGCACACAGAGGAATCTCTCTTCATGAACTGAAGGAATTGCACAAAAAATGTAATCCAATTCCATTTTTGGTTGTGGAAAACATAAAGAGAAATATTTTTTTGTTTAACATACAATGGGTTTACATTGTTACTTTTAAATGACAAATACATAAACATTTTAATGTCGTGGCTTTAGTTTCTAATATGACAGATCTCCATAGCCATAACCCTCACAGAGGAAAGCTCTGAGCACATGCTTCAGTAGGACCTTGTGAGCCTAAGAAGTTTGGGACCTTACTTTTTGTTTGTTTGTTTGTTTGTTTGTACCGGGGATTGAACTCATGACCTTGCACTTGTCAGGAAGGCACTCATGCCACTGAGCTACATCCCCAGCCCTGGGACCTTACTATTTTAACAGAGGAATTCAAAGCAAAATTTCAGCAAATCTCATCACAAAATATGCTCCTGCAGGCAATAAACTATGCTGTGAATCTGTTCAAGGGGACTCATGTGTCAGTGCTGTGAAGGACACAGGGACCTGAGCTGAAATCTTCACTGCACCGTGTATCCCATCTAAGCCTCGTTTTTCTCACCTTAAGATGAGCATGAAATCTAGTCTCTTAAAGTTATCACAAAGATTCTAAATTTTTTCATGCAGGACACAGATATGCAAGCATTAGGAGGAATCATATAAAGTTGTCCCTTTCATAGGCAAGACATGGTCCACTGCTGGCAATTTCATGCCCCTGCCAGCAGTTCCTGCTGCTGTTTGACTCCCCTTGACCCCATCCCTACCCTCAGCCCCACCCCACCACAGCACGGGACATTTGGGGAGAGAGGACAGCGGCCACAGTGCGGTGATGTCCATGTGGCCATCTCCCCAGCACTGAGCTCGGTATTCCTCTTGGTGGCCAGCACTGTCCTCTCTGCTGGGATGCTGATCAATCACACTTCTGCCACAGCTGACACTTTTCTCTTGTTCTGTGGTCGTGTACAGGGTTTCTGGACCAGCGTGGACATTTACTATTTGAGGTGGTGACACCCATGGTGTTGAACCTGTCATCAGCAATGGTGGCAATGGCTTTTCCAAATCAAATGACTGGGGTGTCTGTTCCAAGCTGAGATCTCTGGAACAGACCTGCCTCCAGGTGATGCCACAGGGGACAGAGGTGTGTGCATGCTGGACACTCGCCTTAGGCTAAACACAACCCAGTTTCCAAAAGTGACTGTGTCACTTGTATCAAACAAACCCCCTCCTGCCCAAGGACTCTGAGCACCACTTAATTCCTCCTGTGCCATGTTCTGACCCTGCAGTCCAGCTATGCGGCCACCTTATTCCTCCTGGGGAAAGCCTCTGACGCCCTGCCCAGCTCCCTGGTGCAGATTCATTGGGTGCACCAACATTCACCCTCCTCCTGCAGAGGACACAAGTCCTCAGCTGCCCGTTTTCAGCCCCAGCCGAGAGCTTGCCTGTTGCTGACCTGGAGGCTGGACCAGGGAGGCTGGTCCTTAGTGGCCCCACAAAGTCTGCTGCCTCCTCTCCCAAGGTCCAAAGACAAAAAATAGAGAGGTTTATACAGCGTGGGGAGAGAGGGAGAGGGAAGAAGAACAAAGCCAGGATGACCATATTTCAACAAATACTGGACAGACTGGGTGCAGGCTACCACATTCTTGCAACTTTTCTGTAAGCCTAAAGTTATTTCAAATATGTAGTTAATAAAACGAACCAAAAGCCTTTTCACTCGATGATGCTGGGAGGAGAACACCATTGCTGTGAAGCAACTTGCTGGGTGCTAAGGTGTGGGGGACTCAGCCATAATCACCGACCATTGCCAACACGTGACGGCCCCTGAGGACAAGGCGGGGGTCCTCCTGCTGGACAGACTTCATGCCAGCAGCCGGTGGGTCCTGACCTCACATGTCCCCTTCCTGTGGTGGCCATGGAGTGGCACGTGTTCGCTGGGGACCTCCTGTGCACCACACGCTATGCCAAGCACTTCCTGGGTGCTCTGTGCACCATCACAGTGCCATGCAGTGCTGCCGCAGTCACCACCATGTGTTACAGCTGAAGAAACTGCAGCGTGGGAAAGTTAGGTGACCGCCGGGCTCTCCAGGGAGAAGTCTGCAGGCTGTGAGCCCATTTCCGAGGGTCTGAGCCTGCGATTCTGAACTCAGGCCCTGGCTTCTTGGTGTGTCACCTCGCTTTTCAGTGCCAGGGTGGAACCCAGGGCCTCAACACTGAGCTCCATGCCCAGTCCTTTGGTCATTTTTTATTTTGAGACAGGATGTTGCTGGATCACTCAGTTGCCCAGCCTGGGCTGGAACTGATGACCGCCCTGCCTCAGCCTCCCAGAGTGCTGGGATTAAAGGCCTGTGCCACTGTGCCTGGCTACATTTCTCTTTTGCAGGCTGCAACAAAACAGTGGATGCCTGTGAGATGCACAAGTGGCTACTGGCCTCACCAATTAGATGGGCATCATTTGTCTGCTCTCTTTCTTAGCTTCATCCCAGAAATGGGTCTTTTTCTTGGCATTGATTGGCACTCTTGAGAATGGGTTTGAACTAGCTTGGCTTACAGGAGTAAGGGGTCTATGGGTCTATGACAGAGCCCTGGCTGCCTTGCATTATTACCAACCACCTCTCATTACCCAGGTCCGCTCCATGGGCTTTGCTTGTGTGAATTCAATGGCTCCCGTAGCATCATGAAGTAGCCCCATTGTACAGGTGAGGAAACAGAGTCTCGGGGAGATGGAGAATCTGAGCCCAAGATCAGCCAGCTAGAAACTCAAAGCTGGAATGCACAGCCAGTCTGCTGGTTTAGAGTCCCTGTCCTGTGCCTCGAGGCAGGACAGGAAAGAGACTCCAGCCGTGGGTAGCATGGGGAAGCTCTGGGCCAGCCTCAGGGTGCTGGGGACATTTGCTAGGGCAGGGCTCTGACGTGGGGACCCAGGAGCAGGCGGGGCGCCCACACTCACCTGCGTGCCGGCGCTGCTTGACGCACTGCCCGCGGTTGGGGATGCCCTTGGCCACGTCCCCTGGGCTCAGGATGTGGCACTCGTAGCCAGAGGGACAGAGCAGTGGCTCGGCACCGTCCTCGGTGGTGCTGCAGGCCTCTGCTGTGGGAGGGACACGAGCCAGGCTCAGGGCGGGGCTGGTTTCAGACGTGTGCAGTCACAAGAGTGAGCAGTCACACACACACACACACACACACACACACACACACACATACACACACACACACACAACCACAGTTTTCCTGCATATGGGGACATAAGTGTGCTGCTACAGCCACCCCGTCACACACACAGGTGGGTGTGGAGTCCCAGGCACAGGTGTGCACACACATGCACACACGCACACTCCACCTCCCCTGCAGGGCCCAACGCACAGGTCCCTCCCGAAGAAGCCGCTACCCCTTGGAGAAGCCATGAAACCTTCTTTGGATTTTGGGGTCTGGAAACCGTCCCCTGCCCTGTCCTGCATCCCGAAGGAGGCCCCATGGTCAGGGAGATCAAGCCCTGTTTCTGGACTGGGCTTGTGGGATCCCAGGGGAGGGGCCAGCTGCCCCTTTCAGTGTTGGGTGGGGTTCAGGAGGGCTGAGGCTGCCTGGTCCCTGCATGCATGTGGACAGACAGCCTGGCCCTGCCGGTCCCCTGGCTGCAGCGTGGGAGGGGGTCCCGGCCAGGCAGGGGGTCAGCTCCCTGCGGGTCTCTCACCTTGTAGCACCTCTTCGGGGCCATCCAGGAGCCAGCCGTTGCCTCCCAGCCACCTCGGCTTCGGCTGAACCAGCCAGTCTAGAACTAACACATGACATGGTCAGGTGGAGGAGGCCGAGACATGCACAGCCCAGGGCAGGGGACTCCCCTGTGCCACCCCAGAGGCTCCCAGGAGAAAACACAAAGGCTCCCAGCACACCCTCAGCGCGCAGAGGCCAGGACATTCCTAGGCACCCTGCAACACGTAGCACAGCGCCCCTCAACCAAACACCCCAGGCCCAGTGTCAGCTCAGAGACCGATGCACTCGTGTTGGACTGCTGTGGGCACTATGAGTGGGGAAGCCATTCACCTGCTGCCAGGGACTGACCGGATGGGCTTGTCCACGCGGTATTTACTGAGCCACTCTTGGGGGCTCAGGGACACGGGACTCTGCCTGTGGGGCTGATCTTCAGGCAGGGGCGGGCGACACACAGACATAGCCAGTGCGTTCTTGTAGGAAGGGAGCGAAGGCTTGGCAGGAGAGGGATTGCTGTTTTCAGAGGAGAAGCCCACAAGAAAACAAGCCTTGGGCAAAGGGCTGAGGGAGGCCAGACGTGAGCTTTATGGGTGTCCCAGGGAGGGTGTCCTAGGCAGGGACCCTGGACATGGCCCCGAATCCCTGCACTCAGGACCTAAGGCAGTGGCTGCTTCCGCACCAACAGATGGCTGGACTAAAACGGCATGATGCCTGCTTTGTGACCCTGGGCACATGACTCAGCTTCTCTGCGCTTCGGTGTCCTCGGCTATGAAGAAAGCTGATAACCATCTGCACCCGTGGAGCTGGAAGAGCCTAAGAAGGGACCTGCGTGGAAAGCTGGGACCTTGTACAGGTAGCCAGCGAGGCTAGAAGCCCGGTGTTAAGCAGGGATCCACAGAAAGGGGCGCCAATCCTATTGGCCTATCCTATTGGTGCCTGTAAGCCCCTTCACCAGCAGGGGGCGCCATTTCACGCCTTTATGAGACCCGTGCTTCATGTGGTCACTCCGGGGAGGAGGCCCTGGAGCCGCTTTCTGTTATCACAGCCTGGGAAGCACCCAGACAACCAGGAGCAGAAGGTCTTGGTCACTCCTTCCCACTGCAGAAGCGGCTGCCGGCCCCACCCCCAGCCCTTGCCCTCCCCCAGCCTCTCTGCTCCCAGGCCTTCCCTCTACTCCGCAAGGGACCTCCACCCCACTTCCCAGGCTGCTCCTCTCAGAAGTGGCAGTCCGGGCACCCCTGTGCCCTTAGCCTGGGTGCTGAGTGCTCTGTCCAGACAGCTCTTCCCTGAGCTGCACCCTCACTTCCAACCTGGGTGGCAGGAGGACACTGAAGGAGGTGACCACTGACCAGCAGACTAGAGATTTGCCTTGCCTCTTTGGGGTCCCCTTTCTTGCACACCCCCAGGGCCAGGCCTCACTCTGCCAGAGGATCTGGTAGCATCCAGGAACACTAAAGGACCAGGGCATCATGCATCTGGGGACCATGGACTGGGGCTGGACGGTTTACAGAAAAGCCCCAAATCTGAATTTTTTTAAGGGAGGAATCTCAGCCTACCCTGTTGTCATGGGAGGCGACACTGTCTGTCCCTGTCATGGTCTCCTAGGCTGTGGGCTTCCTGGACCCAGACAGGGGCCCAGTACACAGCAGGTGCTCTGTAAGTGCAGATGGACAGAGCCCGAGGAGCTGCTGCCATTCTCACTGCCCAGGGTGGGGAAGGTGAGGCCTGGCAGGTCCTCAGCTCTCCCACGCCCAGCTCGGGCACCATCCAGCTTCACCCCCACCCCTGCCTACCTGGCGGAGGTGGCACGGCCTCCAGGCAGGAGTAGGCACAGCCATTGTAGCAGCAGCGCCAATGTTGTGGGCACTGGGAGTCGGCCTGGCAGCGCACAGCCTGGCAGGCTCCAGGGGGCAGCGTCCTTGGGGGCGGTGGGCAGCGGTCAGCACGAGGCTGCTGGGGGCCAGCGATGTTCGCCTCCTCCACCTGTGGGACCAGGAAAGGATCAGCAGTGCCCAGGCTGGGCCCTGGGTCCTGGGGAGATTGAAGATCCTGGTCTCAGCCTGGGCTTCCTCAGTGGGAACCAGTGATCCTGGCAGGACCAGACTGGTGAGGTGGCTGGGGGGAGTCACAGGTGTGATGCTCCTGTGTGGCAGTGCCAGCCCAAGCCCACTGCAAGGCCCTCCACAGGGAGAGGACTGCAGGGCAGTCTTGGGTGTTTGCAGGGGACATTTGTGTGTTCCTCAGGTGCCCAGGAGATTGTGTGCCTCTAGATCTTGTATATCTGTGTATCTACACAATGAGGTGTGCATGCATGCATACACACACACACACACACACACACACACTTCTAGATGCATGACCAGGTTTCTTATCATCCATTTCCCTAGAGCTTTGAGATGCACAAACCACATGGACAGTGAGGAATTCCACCAAATATCCTGGATAAACCTTGCAAATGTACTGCTCAGAAAATCTGGAACAGGAGAACACTCTGGGCTTGCCCCTGCGTCCACTCCATGCTGAGGGTGGAAGCCAGGGCCTAAGGGCAGGCTGAGAAGCCAGGGCGTGGCTGCTGATGGGCACTGACCCCCTGGCCAGGGCTGGGGTCCACCCTGTCTTTCCAGCACATGCGGGTTACAGTGGTTTGCTTTGTGGGCGTTCTTGGGGCTGGAATTTAGGATTTATGAACTTCCCCTCCCATGCCAGGACACTGTCCTGCCAGATGTGGCTTGTGGAGAGCAGTGATTACACGGCACGCCCTGGCCGTGCCCCCAGTCTTGGTTCCAGCTGTAACTTGCATTAAAAATGCTTTAACTGTTTACTCCCCAAGGCCTTCCCCAGCACACAAGTTTCAAAATCCCACCTCCCGGTTCTGTCCAAGAAGATAAGGAGCATCAGCCTGCTGGAACTCAGCCACGGACCCTGTGTTCTCAAAACAAGAAATCAGGCTCAGAGAGCTGCTCACGTAAGGCTGGGGTGGTGATGCAGGAAGAAAATCAAGGTAGAAATAATTTTTTTTGCTATAAATTAGCCATCTACCCTGGCCCCTAATTATATCTTGAAAACATATACACATAACTGATACATATTATATGTATTTATGTGCATTTTTTTGTTGTTTTGTTTTGGAATCGGAAATTGAACTCATGACCTCAAACTTCCCAGGCAGGCACTTATGCCCCTGAGCTAAATCCCCAGTCCTCTGGGAACATTTTTAGGAGACTCAAGAAACCAGTCTGGAACGCTGCCTCTGGAAGGAATTAGTTTCTGGAGCTGAGAAAGATTTCTCTTCATTCTATGCTTTTTTGCATTTAGTCATTTTTTAAAAACCATGAACATGGATTACTTTTTCAATTTGAAGAAGACAATTAAAAACTTTAAAAGTACTAGAAGTGTGTATGGAAAAAACTATTAATGACATGGAAAAACACGTGACATAATAGTGTCTAGAAAATGAAGATGCATACAGACATGTTCCCCATCCTCCGGTAATGAGAATGAATGGTGAATTACGGAGCACATTAAGGGACCACACACACACACAAGAGAAAATAGAAACACCTCCCACCGAAGGGAGCGTGGACCTCACGGCCCTAGCTTTGTCCCAGGCTCAGGAAGCAGATGTGAGAGGAGAAGCTGGGTCTGAATCTGTGCACCCGTGCTGCCTCTCCCCAGCAGGAGCTCCGAGGGGCTCGCCGAGGGCAGAGGGGTCTCTGTTAGCAGTACTGAGATGCCTGGACCCTGCATGCGACGATGCACTTGTACCTGACGAGCTCCACATGCAGAACACAACCCGAAATGCATTGACACCCTCTGAAAGGGCAGAACCTACTCGGCTCTTAGGAAAAAACACAGAGCAAAGCTTCACAGTCCTGAGGTAGGCAGTGGCTCTTAGGAATGACATCCAAAGGAAAAGCAGTAATATAGAAGGCAATCCGCTGGGTCTCGTGGAAATTGGAGGGAGACATTCACCCTTCAAAGCACAGCACAGAGAGAGTCATAAACAACCACTGACAGACGGCAGGAAAATATTCAGCCTGTTAGCGCCGGTTGGTTGGTGGGTTTCATTCTTGAAGGAATTACAAGGGGGAGAGTCAGAAGAGGACTGAGCAAGAGTGTTGTACTGTTAGAGAAAAAGCAGAAAGCAGCATCTACTGTAAAGCAGATGAACCTAGGGCTGGGGATTTAGCTCAGTGGCATAAGTGCTTGCCTTGCAAGCATGTGGTCATGAGTTCGATCCCTGGTACCGATGGAAAAAAAAAACCTATCTATAAAAAAGCAGATGAACCTGGGGTGGGGACCCAAACTCATTCCCCAAGGGATTCATGTCCAGGGGCTTTTACATACACAAGTGACCACAGCTTAGCCAACTGGAGATCAGCCTATGGGATTACGTGCAGGAAAGTTTGACTTAGAAATGGGCCTGTCGGAGCTTGGGGTATGCAGCAGGTGAACTTTTGTGAGCAACATTAATTGTAACCTCAACTAGAACTACGACATTCGTATAAAAAAAAGTATGAACATCTTATTTCTGAACAAGAAAATCCTGCCATTCTGATGGGGCCTTTCTGTCAAGCTTCCAGCCCAATTAAAAGATGCCCAAAGGATCTGAATGGAAATCTCTCCAGAAAAGCTAATCAAGCAGCTGAGTATTGTCTGGGGGGAAAAAACCTAACTGCTCAACATCATTAGCCACCAGGGAAATGCAGATCACAGCCCGGGTGAGCCATTTCTCCAGGCTACCCCACCCCCACAAGTGAGGTCGGGCAGAACCCGCCATCGAGGACCGTGCCTTCGGGAATGCAGCCACTGTGGGAACAGCCTGGCAGTTCACTGAAAGGTTAACCCTAGAGCCATGTGACCCCGGGATCCTGAAGATCACAGTTCAAGCCCAGCCTGGGCAATTTAGCAACTTGGTGAGGCCTGTTCATGCTAGTAGATGAGGAAAAGAAAGCTGGGAGCGACTGGGGGCTCCTTTGAAGATCAGGGCAGCCCCGTGGGTGGGTCTCTAACCCACGCTGGTCTTTCCAGCATCTCCTGCTTCCTGCATTCCTGTGCCATGGCCAATAAATTTCAAGCTGCCAGCAGGACCCCGATCCCACATCATTAGCTCCCCGTCACTTTCTATAGAGTTAACTGAATTGGACCTGTGTTGGGACCTCACCGGTTTTTATCCTGATCCAAGGTGACAGTGGCCCCAGCCCCCCTGCAGGGTGACTCAGAGGCGCCTGGCCTCCTCCTCAGAGGGAGCGGCTCATTACCTAGCTTGCTTGGGAGCAGGGTTTCATTTGTAGAATGGATGGCGCCCAGGACAGAAACAAGGCCCTAGCCCCCACCCCACTGCCCTGGCATGCAGAGAGGTGACAGTGGTGACCCTGTCACAGGGCTCTGTGGGGAGCACCAGTGTAGGTGGGCCACTGTTCTCTGACAGAAATCCAAATGGCTTTTCTGGGAATTTGGACAGAACAAAAGAGATAGCGAGTTGCTTCTCGTGCAGCAGCAAAACAGATGGTGATGGGTGATAAAGACCTGATTGGGCGCTGGAAGAAGGGGGGCCCATGTTTTGCAGAAGGTTCCCAGCTCAGGGAGGGCGCTGAACAAGGACAATTCTTGGGGAAAGAGATAAAGGGCTTAGCTCCAACCTCTTCCTGCCCAGGGGCTGACATCCCCAGCCCAGGCTCAGGCTGGGTATGGCCCCACCTGCCCCCTGTACTCTCTCTCCAGCAAGCTAGCCCAGCCTCGCTGAGGTCCCCAGAGTGCTACAAGCCCAGCCCCAGCTCAGGGCTGGCAAGCAGGGTTCCAGGCCTCTGTGACATGAGCGTGTCCTCTCCCTGTCCCACCTCACACATCTTCCCACTCCCGGTATCTTTAGGCATGTGTGTATTTGCACACTCACTGATTGTGTTTCTCCACTGTGCTGTGCCCTCCAAGGGACAGGGACTCGGTTTCGATGTCACCTGTGCCCCAGGAGCAGGTGTTGAAGAAGTATTCACTGCGGAAAAGGGAGGTTATGACAATGACGATGACAATGATGATGGGCAACCGTCACTGGCCGTCTCCCAGGCTTCCTTCTAAGTGGCTGACACACAGGAAACAACTGTGACCCTCACTGCATAGCGAGGAAACTTGTACGAGGTGTGCCCAGGCTCAGAACCCGACTCTCTGGCTCACGATGGCAGCAGAAGAAACACTTGTAAAATCCTCACTCTGTGCAGCAACCCTCAGTAGAGCCTTAAATATTTCCAAGCCTCAGCTAAGGCACTGCCTGAGCTGGTGCAGTTCTCAGGTGGCAGGAGCAGAGACTCCAGGGTCTTCCTGCCCGAGGCGCCGGGCACTGGGAGGCTGCCCCACCTTGCCGGCTTCCTCCATCCGGCTCCTCTCCCCCCACCTCCTGTGGAGCAGCCCACTCAGGCCAGAGTCAGGAATGCTGTCCTCCACATGGCACACATCCTGTAAAAGCTCACCCTAACCCTGCCCTGCAGCCTCAGCCCCCCTCCTCTCCACACACACAGCCATTCTCCTGCAAATACAGCAACGGTCAGTGAAACCCCTCCCTGAGACGAGACAGCTCGCCCAAGACTGAGAGCGTCCTTCACGAGAGCCACCGAGCAGGTTCTGCCTTCTGCCTTGTCACTGCGGCTTGGGGACTGCCAGCAAGCCAAGTTCTCCAGCTACTGAACAGAAACGGGAGAAAAGCTCAGAGAACTTTGCAGGTCTGCCTGGCTGAGCTGGATAAAAAGCATTCCCTTAGGGTTAGCTGATGACCCTTTTCCCTCCCGGGGAGGTATCTTAGGCACTCTCTATGGATCTGCACAGTCATCCTGCTGCAGAAATCCTCAGGACGCTGGAAGGGGAAAGGGCAGTTCGAGCTCCATCAGTGGGCAGCGATTTGGCACGTTCCAATTCCAAGTCCAGGTTCAACTAAAGCAAAAGAGCTGGCGTAGCAGCCAGAGGAGCCTGTGTGGGTAAATACTGAGACCTCC